AAGTTTATAAAAAGGCATCTTATGTTAATTTTAAGGCAAAAACCTAACGTCTCTAGGTTGTACATCGAACTCTAAATATAGACGTCCTCGTTGTTTACATTGACAACGTACAGTGACGCGCCAAAATTTTTCCCCATTTTTCAGTCTTTCCTTCGATATTTTACTGTAAACAGTACGTTATCTTATCAAACATTTTGATAAAAAATAATTGAGAATTTCTCATAGTAAGAGAAACCGTACTCAGATGATTCATTTTAGTTATAAAAAAAATCTCAAATTAACGACTTTTTATTATCTGTAAAAATACTGGAAAGTTTACATGTTTCAATGCACAGATGAATTATTTTAATATTATAGCACTTACACCCTTTCTCCAAAAGCTTAATTACTACATACTTATACTTAGTATATTTAAAGTATTCAATGAATTAAATTTATATACCATCAACTAGAAACGAAAAAAAACATACACCATTTAATATGTTTTTATGTCTTCTCAAAAATAATTGAAATGATAATTGAGAACAGTAGAGGCATAAGAATATGTTACAATGCCGTTAAATTCAAGAAAGAAGAATGGGGAAATTACATAATTATAACTATTAAGTTTTCCTTCAGAGAAGTTGAGATGAGAATATTAATAACGTAATATTCGAGTAACATGATGCTCATTATAATAAAAACTTATAAATGGGACAGCTTCATATAATTTTGTGAAATTCTAAGATACTGAAAATATTTTTTAAAATTTATTTTATATGCATCTGTATCTATAATTTTTTTTCTAAGTCATTTATTTTACACCCTCCCCTTTGTGACAGGAAAAACTCTCCAAAAAATTCATTGATTCTTACAAAATCAAATAATATTAATAATAAAAATATTCTTCCTATGAGATATACATGTACAATTTGAAACCATACAATTATTGCATGACGTGAGGAAAATATGAAGATTTATTCAGCGAAGAAAAATTATACGAATTTTTTTGGTTGAATAAATCTTCATGTTTCCTTAACATTCATGCAATAGATTCTTAATATACCGAAACAAGCAAGGCCTTTAAAAATAAAGACAAATTTTCAAAAAGTTACTGGAACACTTAACCGAAGTCCCTTGGACACTTCGCATTTAGATTTCTTTGTTTGTTTGTTTTTTTTTTTTAAGAAGTATCCTTATTGAAGAAGACCGCCAATTTTGTCATTGCATTCAATCATTTATGCTACTATTTTAAATTTTGTGATGTCTGCTGTTTTCGGGAGTTTCGTCAACGAATCGAACGATTTATAAGTATTGTGAGAAAATGCACTTGGTTTTCCTAGGAGGTTAAATATGATGAAAAGCATGACGATGACAGGGAAATATGAAGTTTTATGGCCCGTTACGTGACAATTTTGAACCAATCAGATAACGCGTTGTATAGAATAATTATAATGAGGTATAACAATAAGATGCATGCGTGTGTGTGTAGGGGGAGGGTTCGCACTTTTTATAAGCTTATATATCATACTTAGAATCTCGAAAATCGGGAAGTTGAACTACTTGGCCAGGGGTCTGAGGGTAAACCCCCCCCCCCCCACCCTTGCCTCTGAAATCCCCCTTCACAAACTCAGGTGACATACCTACCAGAAAGATACTAGTATTGTCTTTTGGGTATAGAACATTTTAGCGTTACAATATAAAGACTCAGGAGAATTATTTTCAGATCTTAATTTCTTGTTGTTGTTTGTCCCCAAATGATTAACAGTCAGGTTCTAAAGCTGAAACAACGAGAGGAATGAATTCAACATGACCCTGGTTGATGCGTTATTAAAAGTCATGTTTGTTTGACCTTATGCATGCTTACAGTCATTTTGAAAAACCCCGCGTTTCGAGACACTGGTAACCTTATCGCTGTACTTTGCACCCAAGTTAAGACAATCCAACGTAATAACTTTTTTGTAAAAAAAAAAAAAATAAATAAAAAAACAAAAATAAATAAATAAATAAACATCTTTTAGGTCGCAGATAAGTGCGTATGGCCAAGGGTTGAAATGTTACAACCTTTTTATGAAGGGTTGAAAAAATATACCTATCTTATTATAAACCAAGTCAAAGCTTAATAAAAATTAAATATGTCATGTATGAGATGAGTCGACCATCTTCATTTTCTGATTATTGGAAGGATGATGGATATGTTCAGAAAAATCACAAGTAATGCCCATGAAAACAGAACAACGTACAATCATAAAGTTATGTGTTGATATGGTAAAAACGGCGTCAGAGACATAATTAATGATTGTTAAAATTACTGGGAATAATCGAAATATTTTTTAGCTCATTTGACAAAGCAATTCATCATATATTTCACAAAGTTTTGCAAGAAAAGTATTGTCTGAATTCCCCATTAGACAAATTAAATTTTATCACTACAGTTATTATTTGAATTTACTTCAGCTGTTTTGTATGGCTTTGCAAGTTCCCTGTTGGTAAATTAGGAAAATGATTTTAATTTATTCTTTGTTAGTTGACACCTTTGTCTGTGGTCCAAATTCAAAGATCAATTTGCAAGGTCATCGTAAACTTAAGAAAATGCTGGTGAAAATGATGAAGGCATGTCACCTAGAGCCTGACTCTGACTCAAAGATATGTAATTCATATCCAGTCTGTACTATATGTATGAATTTTGACAAATAAAAAAATTAACTTTGACGTTCAGTTCACAAGGAAACTTAGGGTCAACTTTGATTTTTTTGTTATTTGATATTCCAGTAGCTTAATTTCACCCCCCCCCCTTCCTCCCTTTCTCAGCGCAATAGGATATATATTTATACTTTAAACAAAACCTTGGAGTAACTCAGAATTTCGGGATTCTGAAGTCAATGAATTTTACTAGATATTTCTTAAGTTGCAGGCACATAGTATCGGTTTTGAAATGCGGAGGCGGGGGGGGGGGGGGGGGTCAAACTTGAAAATCCCATTTCGTGGGAGGGAGGTCCAACTTCTCAACTTCTTCCACATCATTTTTTTCATACATCACCACATAACCCTGCAACAAAAAGTGGGGGAAGGGAGCTACTAGCCCATCAATGGACATTTTCGATAGAAAAGGTAATGTTCGAAAAAAGAAAAGGGACAGACCCCTCGCCCCCAATACTTCGAGCCTGAGTTATTATTACATCCTGGCGATATAATTCCTTATTATTTTGCTGCCCATTGATCTCTTTTGCATGAATAATTTAATACTGTTTTAAAATTGTATTGATTAATCTCAAAATGGGCGATTTTCGGTATTAAAAAATTATAATTTGAACCTTAGTGCAAATAGGTCAAAATTAATACTAAAATAGGTTATATTTCCTCGTTTATTATGCTTGTTTGTTAATAAAAGCTTCATTTCAAGGATCTTTTTGCATTCTCTATCTATTTTTTTGAAACATTCCTGAAAAAATAAATCTATTTGTGGAGAAAAACAGACTGCACATTATGCAAGCAATTTTGACTGCAGTTATGATATTCAGGTATATCGATACTTGGGAGGTTATTTATTCTTTAAAACATTCTTTTTTGTGCATATTTTCTTTGAAGTAAATAAACTATGCAATGTAAACATTTTAATGTAAGATTATTTACGTATAACATACATTGATACATTAAATAAAGTTGTTATTTAAATGTTCTAAATTGACAACAATAATGACGTCATAGTGCTCAAAGCGATTAAATGCAATAAAATACATTCCATTTTTAGAGGGCTATTGCAACTAAACTACAAAAGTTAGATAAAAATTGTTGATATATTTATAAAGAGTACATCCTCAAGTCATTTCTTTATAATTATTTTAAATTTTCAAAGAAGGGCCGATTTTTGCTACTAACGTACCTGGCTCTTTATTGATGTGTTTTTAATGCGGTTGTATATAACCATTAAAGGCATTAATTCAAGAAAATTGAGTTCCGGGTATTACTTTAGTAGAAATGTTCTAGGTGTTTCAAAGATTACAACGCCGTGTTTTTCGTGAATCAGATCTGATCAGGTCTGCTGCTCTTCTGCATTTCTGTTATTTACATGAAATGTTTTCAAATACCATTTTTGCCTAGTCAGTTAGGCATAAATATGTATGCAGTTATCAGTTATCAATACTGTATACAGGGTTTTCTCTCTTTCACCACCGTCACGGTAACTCATTCGGTTGAGCGCTCGAAATGTCATGGTTCGAGCCCCTGCTGCGACTGACCTAAGTCGATAAAAAACAGGTAGCAACTGTTCCTTCCCTTAGAGCTCAGCATTTTAATGTGAATGATACGTTCTTTCAGATGGAACATTAAAAACTGAGCCCCCCTTCCCACGGCAGGCGCTGTCCCGATAATGATCCCTCACTGCTCAATGGCCTTGAGTGCCGAATAAAGGTATGAATTTCAAGCCCTTCACCGGTAATGCTGACTTCTCTTTCTGAGAGATAAATTTTCAAACGGAACGTCAAACAACATGCAATCAATCAATATATCTTACCGCTTCCAAACAATTTCATTCTGCTTTACATTCGACTTGACACAGATTTGTTAAAGAATTCATGCGTCTGCATCTTTACCTTCTATAATAGGTTGTGGGACTGGATACTATGGATCTAATTGTTCTTTCCCTTGTCCTGAAAACTGTGGTAATGGTTATTGTCACATAGAGACAGGAGTTTGTTGGTGGTGTAAACCAGGGTATCAGGGTCATCAATGTGAAAATGATACGAAATTAATTTGTTTTAAAATAGTCTTATATGTTGTAAGGCAACAAATGCTTTAACATGTATTTCTCTCAAGTGTTTTGTTGATGTTATACTTAAATGGTGATATAATTATTCTTACATAATATATATCTGTAAACTGTAAGTTTTAAAGGATATCTGAATCTCGGTTTTATGTGTAACTGCATATTTCTTTTTTATGAAAAGTTTATTAGATAAAAAAAAGCTTTACCTTTATTTTACTGTTCGTTGAAACTATGTTAAAGTATTCGATAGAATGTGATGGTGGGAGATATGGACAGCTGTGGTTCCTGTCTGCGATATAAACAATGTCATCACATCAATGGGTCATGTCCTGAAGACTGTGATGCTGGGTTTGAGGGGACATTTTGTGATAGAGGCAATCTTTCTCTTTTGTATCCGTTCTCAACTACTTTTGGCTGCTCTTTTTAGACGGCTATTTTATCATTACGCATAATACATTATCACAGGCATGCTACACCTTTTTTATGGAAATCTCTAGCACATAGAATTTTGCTTCCTTATAAGCGATGTTTCTGATATTTGTATACATGTAAGGAAGTTAGTGCAAATCCTTCTACTGGATTCATAAATATTTCCGTATAAGCCAGATTGTTTTATTAGCAATTGTTTTTTCATAACGGAATTTAACTGAATAAATTTGATATAGAATGTTACAAGTGGGATAATTATATGTCAATATGTTTAAATACTTCACAACAGAGTGTTCAGGTGGAAAGTTTGAAATGAATTGTGAGCGAGATTGTGATGAACATTGTGCTGACCCTTTTAATTGCAACAGAAAAATCGGGGAGTGTGAAGGCGGATGTCAACCAGGCTGGAAAGGACTTCAATGTACTAATGGTAACGTGATCTTACTGGGAAAAGGTACGTGTAGATGTTAAAAAAGGGGCCATGGTTCACATTTTTGATGCATATCATTATCATATATCATTTATGATAAATATTATTGTAACGTCAAAAGGAATTTCAAAAAGCAAAAATATCACTTTAACCACATGATGACTAAAGACAAAATCTTGTGTCAAAATTGACGTTACAAGCTTTTAATTGACGCAGTATGGGGGAACTAGATGCTGTCAAGGTAGCACAGTGATAATGTTCAATTATTTCCACAAAAGATATAGTCCATTTGTGAAATTTTGTGTCCAAGCAAAACTTGAAGATGTTTTGTTAAACATATTTCAAAATCTCAAGGCCACCAAAGTCGTCTTAAAAAATATACTTAAATTATAAGGTAATTTGATATTGTCATGAAATATTTTGTACAATAATACTTTTGTTCGTACTCGTCTTACTTTTCAGGTAGATTAGGATACAGTATATTTATTACGATATTACAATAACTTAATGCATCAAAATATAAAATAAAATTTACGCCAAATCAATTTATGTGCAGTTACTGAGAAACTCTAGTAATCATGTGATTTGACAGGAATATATATATATATATATATATATATATATATATATATATATATATATATATATATATATATATATATATATATATATATATATATATATATATATATATATGACTGCCGTCATGAGAAAAGGGCCCTTATCTTTTGACGTCATAATGCGAAGAAAAACGACGTCAAAGTGGCGGTATTGTAAGCACGGAAGTAAATTTTATCGACTGCGTTTCGTGTATAAGTACTATTGGATTTCCAGGTGTAACAAAAATAAAAAAAAAATATCATATTAGGGTACCCTACATGAAATTTGATGCGGGAATGCTTAATAAATAATTTTATTACTATTTAGTGCTTCTTTATCTGAAAAAATCTTGTAAAATGTATTTAGTTATTTTAATCCATAATTTTAATCCATAGTAAATCTTACTGATATGTACAAAGAGAACAGCTCAGGAGATGTTGCGTCGATCTCCAAATGTGTGTGTGTGTGTGTGTGTGTGTGTGTGTGCGGGGGGGGGGGATTGACACGTAAATAAAATCCGAATAAAAAGGCAAAGTTCAAACTAAAAAAAAGAAGAACCCATCTTTGTTCGGATTTAGATACCATAGATACTGGTAACATGAAAGGTTGGAACCTACGACAACACAGTGAGTGGGGAGAGGGGGGCTTTATATGAGTAATTATATACTCAATTAACAGCAAGATAATATGCTTAGGGGAAAATAAACGGAGGAGGAAGTGCCACAAAATGTTTGCTTAAAAAATAAATTTTGCTAATAAAAATTGAAATAAACAAATATATACATAGAAAAAAAAAAATGAAAGTGTCTGATAATAAATACTTTTGTATCAATTTTCTTAAACTGTTCCGATAAAGTCAGCTTGAAATTTAACTTGCAAATTGTAAAGAATTAGATACAGCTAATGCGAACTTTTTCCAAGAGCATTATACTCAATGTTCAAGAAAATAACAATTACATCGATATTGATATTATGCTTGGATATATGTATGAAACAGAAGAAACAACAGATTGGGCTGTAAAGAAGTTAATATGAATTTCTGTTAAATAATGATGTGGCGTCATTTTTTGAGAATAAATCACTGATAGAAGAAAATGTACACGTAACGAGTGGTTATGGATGCCATTTAAACAATAAAATGCTTTCTTTGGTTGTTAGTACGGGAATTAATGTCGCAGCTGTTGCAGAAAAAAATACATAACCCGCGTAAGATTTTATATAGAGAAATAAATCACTAACTAACAATGAGCTGTGTGGGTTTTAGCATAAAATGCATTATTAAAAATGCAGTCTTTGTGTTTATAAAGAAATGCAGACATTTTTTTTCACATAATGCATTAATGTTAATTGAGTTGCAATTACTTAATTTACTCTATTGAAATGGGAAAGTTATAGCTGAAAATTTTTATTGAAAAAATATATAAAGATTTATAAAATGATTCTTAGAATAGATGAAATAAAAAAAAATATTTTTCCCAATTAAAAAAAATTAAAATTACATTTATTGTGGTTTAGCATGCATGTCATTGCATTTGCAACTGTTCTATGTAAACAGGTAGTTATGGGATCAAATTGAAATTTTCAATTGGATGAAAGTATATTCTTCCAGTACCATTTATTTTATCTAAATGCTATTTGTGTAATTATATATATATATATATATATATATATATATATATATATATATATATATATATATATATATATATATATATATATATATATATATATATATATATATAATAAGACATAATTTTATGAGAAATGAACAAAATTTTACAAATAATGTTAGTCGTCCTACAGATTTTATTTTATTTTTTACATATAATACTGTTTCTTACGTGCATATTTCATAGGGTGGCTTACTCATCCCTTTTTTTCTAGAGTCATGAACTTGTCCCGGAGAAAATCGTGATACTGCATATTACGTTATTTTTATTACACCGTTACCAATTGAGGCTGTATTTATGTCGGTAGCTTCGGCCAATTTCTGTTCAGCTGTTTTGTATTTAGTTTTTAAAAATCGATATTTTAAGTAAAAAAGAAATGGATCTCAGTTGCAAAAAAAAAAAAAAAAAAAAAAAAAAATGATGTCCTATTTTTTAATAAATACATTTCTGAAAGCATTGCCCTTTTAATTTCAGCTGTTGATATTCCTGAGCCAAAGAGATATTTTATTGAAAGAGAACAGTTTTATCTTTTTATCAACAGATGTTGAGGTATTTATGATAAATGTCATTGTCAGAATTTTAAGAGTTTTCATATCAGTCCAAGACAACAAATAAATCAGGAAAGTATATGTCATGAAGGAGTACCATTCTAGAAAAATGACGCCATAAATTTGATGCATTTCTCTATTTTAACAGAGAAACCCTCAACATGACCCATTTCAAGGGTTATTTTCCCTTAAAAAAAATGGTGTCCACAGCCGTCGCCAACTTAAATTTTCGAATATGTTGTGTAAAATTCTTAGATAAATCACATATCTCAAAATTGTTTGGGGCGATACCTGTGAGCAATATTATCTGAAAGAAAATTCCATTGAAAATTGGTGTCTTCTGCAAAATACGGGAAAATGCACAAGTTTATGACTTCACAATTAGCATTTAGAAGGTCATGTGAGAAAATGATATGCATGATCTTTCTGCATGGAATGTCAAAGATTCAAAAAGCATTAGATTTAATTGTTTACATCACTTCGAATTTTAAGAAAAACACAGGGCAAACTTTGTATTGAAACCGTACATTGTTCTTTAATCCGTAAACAAAATTGCAACGCGATTTCACCCAGGCCCCTTTCATCGTATAATAAAGCATTTTATTGGCTTAAATAAACTTTTTTTTTTATTCTTCAAAGATGCTATTTACTATAAATGAATCTTGTCTTGATTTTGAAAAAAAATAATACTTTTGGGAAAAATGTTTTAAAAACCAGGCAGTTCAAAAGATGACTTTACAATGCAAGAAAATGTAAGTTTTAAAAACAATATCTGGTTCTAAAAGATAAATAACGTTTAAACTAGTGCTAATTATTACAGATGTGCCCAAAACAATCCCTACTCCCGTTCCTACAAGCTTTTTTTAAACTAGACAAACCTTTTAATCTTTTGTGCAATAAATCTACGAGTTATTTTCAGAAATATTAGAATTAAAAAAAAACAAAAACAAAAACAAAAACAAAAAAAAAAAAAACGCCGGTATAGTCCTTTGAGTATAAGCCAATCAAATTACAATGCACGAGCATGCCCATGTCGACACTAATAATATATGTTTATATAATATACATGCATATAGAGAAAAGTTTTAGCTGTTTCAATTGTATCAGTCATGTCACAATTTGTGATAATGGCATGGAAATATTCCCTCGCTGTAACCAAATCTTTGAAAAAGAACAAAGAGTACGTGCAAACAAGCTTATTATAGGTCTCCAAAAAATGCAAAGAATATCTGCACACCTGCACACACACAACACGCATATCTACAACACTCAAACAAATAACAAAAACAAAAACAACAAAATAATGATAAATAAAAAAATGATAATGATAGTATCAATACACCGACTATAATATCGTCATATCAGACCCAACAATTGTTTCGTTGCCATGTGCAAATAAAATTAAAATCGGAAACACTGACTGGCGAGACCACAGAGGTTGACCCAAGACGTTAACGTAAACTGTTCATCACTGTTCATAGACACACAGTCGTTGGTTACTCATGGAATTACGGTTTCGTTCTTCTGGCCGTTAACACCGTAGTACGTAGGACTTCCTCGCATGTCTCAGTATGCCATAATGTTCACCTGCTACTTCACATACACATACACAGCTGTTCACCTATAATAACACATTATTTAAAGGTCTGGGTTTCCATAGTCGGTAATAAACGCATTCATACGGAATACTTGAATATGTCGGGTACATTATCTATTACAAATAAAACTTAACAAAGCAATGCAATAATTACTTTTTCTTAAAAAAAAATTACAAGAAACCTAGCTAACAAAATATACAGTTCAAGCTCACCTCTGTCAAAGTTCTCAAAATTACTCTACTGTCCACACAGGAAAACTTCTCGAACATACACAAACCATTCTGGCCAAATGCACGCAGTCATTTTTCTCGCGACCACACAGGTCATACAACATTTTTACTTAGGAAGGACACACCTTCTCACTTCTACAGCCTGCTCAGAACTAACTTACACGTAGACAAATTGTTGAAACCGGTCTGACAGCCGTGATCAGCTTTCCGTGATGATTATACGATGAGAATGAACCTATGGTACACCATAACCAACATAATCAAATTAAACAAAATTGTGACAAGTCATTTCACTCCTCGAACCCGTACGCACGTGCAGGCAAGTGTATGAAATGATCTTCGCGCTTCGTGATCTTCTACACAACATGTTAACCCTAAAAAGGTTCCATCTCAATCGCATGAGACCACTCGTGGACGAAGAGATGCCAAAGAAATTTTGAAAAAAAGAAAGTAAAAACAATATATTCCCACACTTTGCTGGAGGAACATAATGAAGTTGTCCTTGTTAAGGTAATATTTCCTGTTTTGGTTACAACAGAGTATCATATGATTAAAAAGAAGTAAAAATCAATTACTTAAATTTCCTGGTTGATTCATATTTTTCTCTGAGTTATAACATTGAAGGTGTATTGTTGTCCCTCCTGGTAAAATTAACTGATGTTAATATGGTTTCTGTAGAGGTATACCACTTAGCAATGGCAATCTATTGTATATATGGTTATGGTAAGTTGGTGCATTTTATTAGTTCAGTTATAAAAATCAATATCTTTTTTTAGCAACTATTATCGTGTCCGTCAAATCAATATTATTTTATACATAAGCATTAGTAGATTCATGTTTCTTCCATGTTCAATTTTTGCTTCGTTTGTGCATAAAGGTGTGTCTGTAAGGTAGGTTAGGGTAGGTGTAGGTGTGTATGAGGGTTATGTGTGTGCTTTTACAATACATTTTGATACGCAAGAGCATGCTCTATGTATGAACAGTTCTTATTACAGAGTCAGTTATTGACAAATAAGTTGATGAGACAAGAATATCAACAGTCTGGTTTAAAGTTATCATTTCGTAAGTTCTATGTCGATACAATGACTTTGTCAGCAAATACAATTTGTCCTTAATTTCTGTGCTAACTGACGTTTTTCATACTAATTGTTAGGCCATTATTCACACACTGAATTGTCGACGGATTTTTCCGTTAATTCCCGCTCATGACAAGAAGCACACAGCGGAGTTACCAGTCAACAGGGGATGCTCACTCCTCTATGAAACCTGATCCACTTTCTGATGTTTTTGGTGGTCCGAGTTTGCTTTGCTCCCGATTTGTATTGCTTAAATGCAGTTTGAGCTTGAATACTGTTTTTTATCTCCATACTTCACATAAAAGATCATTCTTTTCAACAATAATATTATTGCTATGTGTTTTGCTTTCTTTTCATAAAAGGACAAGCGTAAATGTCATTGCAACAATGCTACCAATCCTATAGTTTTAACTTATATTATACATAATATTACTAGCTTTTGTGAAGAAATATCTCTTTGTAATTTGTTGTTAATAAAAAAAAAATTATAGAAATTTCATTACAAAACTTAACAAACAATAAATGCTTGAAATTTGTGTTTAATTCGATTTACACAAACGTTTGATAACTTCTAATGGAGGGAGCATTTATTGAATGTCCTGTGTGTAAAGTAAAAGAATTTAAAAAAAAGTATATATATATCCTTTATTTCATCAAATATTCAATCTTAAAAAATGTTGCCTAAGGCAATAACTCCTTCTCGTGTATCTTCATTCAAGTATTTTCTTTATTGAACTTCTGATGTAAAATGGATATCCTGATATTAACAATTCAAATATATTTATGAAGAAACAATTATTTTTGAACTATTTACATCAGAATAATGTATTTGAACCAGTTTTCACATAATGTTTATCATACTTTTTATTTAAAATGTACGATTTTTTTATTCCGACATATACTTCTATTTATATATGTCTTACGCCTTAAAAGATGGCTACCTATAGATTTTCTTGGCAATTATTAGTTATATTGATTTAAACTATATTCTGTGAAAATAAATGAAGTTTTTCTACTTTGAACTATAAAAATTGTGAAAATGGAAATATCTTCATCCCAATTACTTATGTTTTTCGTGAAAAAGTCACCCAGTGTGTCGAAGGTAAAATTTCACATTTGAATCACACAATAGTAGTTAGTGGGAATAAAAAACTGCACCTTTCAATTGAATTTTTACTAAAATATCTGGAAAGGTGACTGAATGGCAATCCTTTAGTCTCTTCAGTTAACTGAATTGCAAAGTTTTCTCATGTGATATAATCTATAGTGTCTTCCTAAACTATGGGTAGAAGTTTTTGATTTTAGTGGCAGTAATTAACAGGAATCGCTGTAAAACTATAATACTTAAATCCCCTTTTTTTAAATTAATTTAATTCTGAAGGTTAGAGTGTTTTCAAATTGAATAGAATTAATGCATGACTAAGTTTAAAATGTTATCACACATGTAACTGTTCACATTGATTACAATGGATATTATTGGAACATAAACAGAAACGAGTCATTGTTGTATATCATAAAACTTTTGATAATTATGCAAATAAGAAACATTGATGAAGATGTTATTTTTCTACCAAAAATATTATATATTAAAACGTTTATGTCTTGAAACTTGTAAATGTATAGAAGGTTGAGGATTTATGAAAGACATTGTTGAAATTGAAGCATACATTTCAAAGTTATGCTACTGAACATACATTAAAGTAATAAGGATTACATTTGGTTTTGGTTTTGTTTTGTTTTTTCTCAAAGTAATTAACAGAATTAAAAAAAAAAAAAACAAAAAAAAAAAAAAAACAAACAAACAAACAAACAAACAAACAAACAAACATGTAAACGAGATTTATGTTTTATATTATTAACGTTTTGTTTGATTTTTCCGTTATTTCATGAATAATTATAATTGATTGCAGACGTTAAAGGATTACAATTATTTTTACCCTTTAAGAGCACTCATAATAAAGAAACAGTGTCAAAGTGAATATCTCGGTTTATAAAATGGTACCCACCATTTGCTTATTGTGATGAACTTATTTCAAAATAATCTAACATGTATTAATCGCTCAAACAATATCGTCCTTTTTATTTGACACTGACTTAACACGCATTACTTCCTATGTCAGGAACGCCTCGGCTAGGGTGAAACAGCAGTATTTTTTTTTTAATTCACAGTTAATTTCTACGTCGCGAATTGTAGTTCCCTCAAAATTTAAAGACGTATTCTTTAAAAAAAAGTATATTTATCATGAAATATGCCAGTTCATTTTTTTAAATTTAAATTTATTACCATTTCTATTGATTTTTTTTTTTTACATTCAATTCAGAAAATATTTCAAATTTGATGCACTTGTGAAATTTTGCAGTCTACTGACGAGGAATTTATTCTTTGTGGACATTAATGTATTTTGAAATTTCTGCTTCTCATTTGAAGAGAGCTGTCTTTGTATTTATTTATTCAATATGTCTATGTTATATATGTCATTTTTTTTTAATTTTTCACCTAATAAGACCAACAGATTTTTTAGTTGTGATATTGTGAACGTATTTTTACTACATAATATGGTTTCTTCTGCAATGTTAATTTCTGAAAAAAAAATCCTAGATCAAGAATAAAACTTTAATATATAAAAAAATCTTCTGGAACAATAATTCTATTTTTTCATATGTAATTTTTATTGTTGATATATTTTTTAATAATTTAATTCTATTTATCACGCGGCAATTGATTGGATAAAAAAGATTACTTTACATGTATATCCTATAAATTGGGTTGCCTACGTCACAATGACTTGCGTCAAAAACAGATCGATCCACCTGACGTTACATTTAAATTTTGTACCAGTTGAAGTCATTTTTTAGGACAATCATCTTTTTATCTTACACTAAATGAATGAAAATTAAATTATAAGGAATGAAATTAATAGCTACAGAATTTATACGGTATAGAGTGGGTTGAAGCAGTTTACGCTTTTTTTTATATATAAACCGCTTCGCAGTTTATAAAACTGTCCCAACATACTTCATACGGTATAAATTGGGTAGTTATTAAATTCATTCCTTAAATGAAATTGGTACAGATCCTTGCTTATAAGCTGTCGTTGCAATGATTTTCATTTATGTATTACATCTGGATGTTGTCATGTATATCGGGACTTTGAAAACTTCCTTAATACACTTTTTTGATAATAAGGAGTTCTACCACAGGTATTGCCGAAATCAAAGAATCGTATAACGCCATTAAAAGATTAGTAGATCAAAACACATATCAGACTTTTGTAGTTGAAAAGAATATATTAATACGTATACATGTAATATTTATATATACATACTTTGTTTATACATACTTGAAAACTAATAAGACGAACATTTTTGTTAACTTTATTGCTGTAAATTGCAGGGAGATTAACTATGAAGCCATAAAACTCGGACATTAAACAAAAACAGTTGCCACTGTTAAAACGATTCTACACATTTTTTTCTCTTAATAACATAACAGCTCCATTTTCTATTAGCCATATATACACGTATGCATGCAGACACCGAAGCGTACACTGTTAATTATCTTGAAACAATTAGGACTGATAATTTTCAAAAGTATATAATCAGTTGTTCAGTCAAGTTTTTAGTTAAATTTTTTGTCGTTAATTTTAGATAATTTGGCTTTGAACAGACCAACATGGCAATCAAACCAATACAATCCAGATGATAATTTATTCGACTCCAGTAATGCTGTAGATGGACTGAAGACTGACCTCAGTGCATGGGGAGGACAGTGTTCTATATCATCTGATGGATACAGTACTTCAACCTGGTGGGTAATCCTGGACGCAATCTACAGCATTCATGATATAAGGATTTATTACAGGACAGATAACAATGCTTGGGGTAAGTTCAATCCGTAGAAATAATTTGAGGAATTTCCGAATTATCATTATTAAAAAAAATAAGACTTAAATATTTAAGGGGAAAAGTATTTATATGGAACTGCAGTCAATACTTTCAGAAGACAAATGCAAGAATCTGAAATATCAGCAAAATTAACTGAAACGTATCCATTTATCAATTCATTTTTTTTAAAGTCAAACTAATATATTATATATTCTTTCAGCTGATTTTAGAACTGTGTTTTCAGAAACTCAACTATTGTCTATGAATCTTAAAATGTAATTTAGATTTTCTTTTCATTTACAGCTAAATATACAATAAATTCATTTAATACATTTTTCAAAGCAGAAGATATCTTTATATAGTAGATATATCTGTAATATTTATAAAGTGGACGTTTTTCTTTTAAATTTCAGATGCATCAAATGGCTTCACGGCAAGATTTCTAGGTTTCTATGTTTATATATCAAATTCAACAAACCGTCTAGATGGTCGTTTGTGTTTCCACGATACGAATTACACCAGATCTACAATACCAGCCGTCGCCAATATAAGGTGTCCCGTCCATGGACAATATGTCATCTACTTTAATGAGAGATTTCCAGGTGTCTCATACCCGATAGGATATTCCAAATTTGCATATAATGAACTCTGTGAGGTGGAGGTCTATGGTATGAACCGTTTTGTAAAGATTTTATAAAATCTGAGGGTTATTTTATCTCTCTTTATGAACATGAACTTTGAATAAAATTCCGTTTTTACTATCTGAATATTTGCAGAACCCATGCTTATTAGTCAGCCTTGATGTTAAGAAACAATGAAAATTAATCCACACAAAATCCAGTCTAATTATAAAAATAATTATTTTCTGTAGAAAATTAAAAAGGTTTACAATATATCCTTTGATAATCTTTTAATCGAAGGTTGCAGGACTGGCTACTACGGATCTAACTGTTCCCTCCTCTGTCCTGACAATTGTCGTTACTGTCATGTAGAGACAGGAGTTTGTTCTTGGTGTAAACCTGGCTATCAAGGATATCAGTGTGATAATGGTAGGAATTACTTTATCTTCCTGGGGTGTATTAAGGCAACACATTGGCAACATACGTATTTTTTTTAAGTGTTTTCCCCTTAAGGAGGGTACACGTATATCATTTTTTTTTCTTATTTACCTTCTAGTAATTCTTTATAATGTCTGTTTTTCTATGATGTATTACTCTGGGGTTCATGTAAGTGCATTTTTTTTTCAAAATTAATCGGATAAAAAATTAATCAATACATCCATTTTACTGCGTTTTGCAACGAACTTCATTGCAATCAATAGAATGTGACTGTGGCAGATATGGGCAAGATTGCGGACTAAGATGTGGAGCGTGTCTAGGTTATAAACAATGTCACCACATTAATGCTTCATGTCCTGAAGGCTGTGACGCTGGGTTTGAAGGAACTTTTTGTGACAAAGGTATCTCTTTAAATAAAACGTTTTCAAATAATGCACATCTCGTAATCATTATTGTATCGGTTTCTGTATCATTACTTGTGTTTCTCATCAACACTTTTACCATAGAAATATAAAATATGTTATGTGCAAGATATGTGTTAAATATCTACGCAGCTAGGTTAAGGACTCCCATATTTTCGTCAGCCTATGCAGAGATTCGGGAAAGCTACGTTAACGTGACGTAACGTTAAAAAATACAAATGAATCTCGATGAATAAATACTCTATGCTATTTTTAAAACACACTCAAATACTTTCGTTTCACAGAAATATAATAAAGATAAATGGATCTGCTACTTATCTTGCCATAATATCACTTAGCGAATGAAGAATGAAAGCCAGCTTGATCTCGCTGTACTTACTGAGATTACGTCATTTCTTAGTTTGACACGCAATTTCTCTGTACTTGAAGCATGGATCAAACTTTTATCATAGTTTGTAGAAATAAAAATAAATACGAAACAAGCTTAATGGGACCAAAATAAAGACATATTCTAATATATATTACTCCACATTTTATAATCAAACTGAATTGATAATTTGTAGACTTTATGTTTAGCCGTAGGGAGCACCTTTGTACAGTAACGTGCTAGAATCAGGGGCCCAGCCCCTCGAAAAAATCAAAGGTTCAACGATATCCGCTTCACTATAAATTCTAAATTTTTAAACACGTGTAGCTATTATTCCTACCATTCTGAAAAGTGCTGGGAGCTGGTTGTGCATTATTTATATAATCCGTAATGTAACATTATTCCAGTGCGTACTACATTTGTGTCGGGAGTTAATAGAAAGACGGCTAAATTTTACACCATTCCCGAGCATAAGGAAGATGCTCACAGCACTTTTGATCATAGGCGCTCCCCAGCTTAATTGTTAAAAAATATATATCTACTATACTATAAACATAACAAGGCATGAAACTAGCCTCCATGTTGGATTCCACTTTCTGACTAAGAGCGAGCCCAAGTCGGACTTTTCTCAGACATCGGAAGCTGTCATTTATTGAAATAAAATCAAATCAGGTTGAATCTTGCAGTACGTTCGTCGCATTCACGAGTTTTCTAACATTTCTCTGCAAACCAGGTCTCCTCGGCCGGAACTTAAAGGTTTATATGGGGGTATAGATAATTCAATCGTCGTTTACCTTCAGAGTGCATCTCATGGAAAGCTAACGTTGTTTTTCATAACGAACAAAAGTACCATGAAAGAAATATAATTTTACATCAATAAGACCTTGCAAGATTTTATATACATTTTCAGGCTCATAAAAAGCCGTTTCAGTGTGTGTTTGTGTTTGTGTGCCAGTGTGTGTTTGTGTTTGTGTGCTTGGGGAGGGGAAGGGGGTGCAACTAAACAATAATGCTTTTTACAATTCTTTGACAAGAAAGAAAGAATATTATTGAAGGAAGACAATCGTAAGTTAGGTTTGTTTTCTATTGCATAGTATTAGTGTATTCATGTATTGGCAAAATTATAAGGGCGAAAGGAGGGGGGAGGGGCACGTTTAAGCAGACGGGGGGGGGGGGTAAAATGTTTATAGTAAAGAAATATAATAAAATAAAGCGGATGTTTGCAGAAGTAAGTTCTGCACGAAAATTGTGAGGTGTATCGGAAGAAAAGGAGCTATTCACAGGGAAAAGACTTGTTTTTTTTATTTAAATCAATGATGTACAGAGACACTTAAACAGAATATTAAAATTTAGAGGTCGACGATTTGTTTCTAAAGGCGGGGGATGGCATTTTTTTTCCGAGTCAAAATGTTTATTTTCATGTCACTGAAGGACAGATTATTTATTTCAATGATGCTTAGGGAATTTTTTTTTTAATTTCTACTACATCGAAAAAAAAGTGGGTAGGAAAAAATAAAGAAAAAAAAAAGAAAATTAGAGGTGGTGGTGCATGGTGGGGGTGGGGTTACTATCACTCAAAGTCAAATAATTCATTTTCTTCCTGGTGGAAAATAAATTTTTTTCCCCAACATTTTCAAGGACTGATTTTTTTTTTCTCCAAAATCTGCCAGTACCTATCAGAATCAAATAGTTGTCCCCTCAGAATTACGCATCACTAATTGAATCCTTTATTGTAGTTGCCATGTGCAAGTTCACACTTTATAATCTTGCACATGAAGAAATTAATAGTTTCGCACTTTGTGCATATGTTTGTGTTTATATGTGGTTGTTGCGGGACAGGGCTCAGGAACTTCATTGTAGTGACATATATATATATATATATATATATATATATATATATATATATATATATATATATATATATATATATATATATATATATATATATATATATTATGTCATAGTAAACTAGTCTATTAAATGACTCCTAATCTAGCTGCCTTTGCCTTTGTATTTGTTAACTGGACTGAAGCTGGTTTTTGGTCAAAACTAATGCCAAACGTGCTATCATTATCAAGGGAACGCTGTGAAAGAGTGAGCTAATAAAGTTAGTTTCAGCTTTGTAAATATTAACGGTGATGTGAACATACCAAAATATATGTTTAGAAATAATTACCCTTACAAAATATTTAAAACATCCAAACCACTTATATACTATTTTAGTGAGAATTTTGAACCTGTTATTAAACTTTAGAACTGTCCCATTTTATTAAAGTATATCTGTATGAATCCATCTATAAGAAATAAGTCCCGCTATCAGGATAAAATATACATGTACTTGTATATTTATTAATTTTGCAAAAAAAGTAATACTTAAACTTTACATGTATGTAAGTAACACACTTTCCAGAGACGAATCCGGGATATCAAGGAGGGGAAGGGGGTGGGGGTGAGGGGGGGAAGATTAAGTGGCAATAGAAACTCATAATACTTGTAGTTAAAATTAGTATTAAAGCATATGTTTTATCAAGACTTTCTTTTATATTGAATATCCCCCCTTTTCCCTTTTTTTCCTTAATATATTGGCACTGCTGATTTATCTAGACTTAACGGGTGACAATATATTTTCATAAGTTCAAGTATCTGCTAGTCTTAGACTTCTTTTTATCAATTAGAAGTAATTAAAATGCAAAGAAAAATCATATGTTTAATTGATTTACAAATACATATGTTTCACAATACATTTAGTTCATTTTTGAAAATCAAATGTTAATTTTCCGTGAAAAGTCGTTCTCGTACTTTGAAGGTAAACGACGATCGAATTATCTTTACCCCAATAAACATTTAAGTTCCGGCCGAAGAGACCTCGTTTGCAGAGAAATGTTAGAAAACGCGTGAATGCGACGAACGTACTGCAAGATTCAACCTGATTTGATTTTATTTTAATAAATGACAGCTTCCGATGTCTGAGAAAAGTCCGACTTGGGCGAGAAATTCTCGCTCTTAGTCAGAAAGTGCCCCTAAGCGGAATCCAACATGGAGGCTAGTTTCATGCCTTGTTATGTTTATATTATACTAGATATATATTTTTTTAACAATTAAGCTGGGGAGCGCCTATGCTTTGTATGTTAAGGAATTTGTCTCAAACAAAAAAGAATAAATCTTATAGCGGAAAGATACCCGTATATCGTTGAACTTTTACGATCTTTGTAGTAGTACATATATGTTCTAATTTTAAACCTGTCACGTGACAAACAGTTGATGTAAGCGATGTCGCTTTGGCCGAACTCAGAGACCCAATATAACGCGTTCCAAAATCAATACAGAAAATCTTTTTTTCTGTTTTAGGCATATTGACAAAATCCAACAGAAAACACAGTTTTATAAGATATTTATTGATAAGATTGTGAAAAATCAGCATTTTTCTAATGAAAACACGATGTAGTGTCACAAATAAACTGAAATGTAAATATTTCGAGGAAATATTGACAATTTAGCAAGACTTTACGGGGTAAATTTCCCCCCAAAGAAAATCACTGATTTACAGCTTAAAGATAGCAAAAACCTACAGGGTAAATTTCCTCTCAAAAATGACATTGATACAGTTAACCTACAGTAATTCAAAGCAAAAGCAACCATTTTTTTTAGATAGCAAGACTTTACGGGGTAAATTTCCCCCAAAGAAGGTATCACTGATGCAGTATTCACTACTCTTATAAAAAGGGAACATTACATTTGAAAATCACAGAACTCTACAGGATAAATTTCCTCTCAAAAATGACATTGATGCACTTTATATACAGTGTTTGAAAGCAAAAGCAAGACTTTACGGGGTTAATCCCCCCCCCCCCAAAGAAAATCAATAATACAGTATTTATGATTCGCTAACATCGTTAAAGGTGCTTGGACACAGATTTGAAGTTAATTTTTTTTTCAAATTTTCTGTATAATTTCATGACTTATATGTTGCTATAGCATTTCATACTAAAATATAATAAAAATCTTATTTCATCTCGTAGTTATTGAAACTTCAAATTTCTGAACGCGTTTGATTGACACATCCTTGCACTTTCACAAAATTTAATTTTATTCTTAATACTTAAGAAAAGTGGCAATTTTGTTGTGTATTAAAGAAAAATATTAAAACTATAATCCAGAAAATTCAGAGTAGAAATATTCGAAAGCTAAACCCACTCACAGTATTGTCAGTCCGTGCTCAGTGGTGTGTGCAGAGTTTAACAATTGAACACACCCGGTGAATCGTAAACATTAACAATAACAGAGCTCGTGCCCTGTTTACAAAAACAGTTTACGTTTCACGGGTGTATTCAATTTGTTAAACTCTGTACACAACACTGAGCACGGGCTGACGATATTAGTGAGGGGGTTTGCTTTCGCACATTTCTACTCTGAATTTTCTGGATTATAGATGTAATGTTTTTCATTAATACACAACAAAATCGCTTCTTTTCTTAAATGTTAAGGATAAAGATAAAATTTGTGAAAGTGCAAGGATGTGTTAATCAAACGCGTCCAGGAATTCGTAGTTCCAATAATTTCCAGATAAAATAAGTTTTTAATTATATTTTCGTGTGAAATGCTATTGCAATATATAAGTCGTGATATCATACAGAAAATTTGAGAAAATATTAACTTTAAATCTGTGTCTAAGCACCTTTAAGATGGCAACAATCTACAGAGTACTTTTCTCTCAAAAATTATATTGATACATTTTATACACAGTATTTCAAAGCAAAACACCAATCTTGTAGATAGCAAGATTTTACGGGGTAAATTTCCCCCAAAAGAATATCAATGATACAGTATTCACTCTCTTATGAAAGCGAACATTACACTTTGAAAATCGCAGAACTCTACAGGGTAAACTTCCTCTCAAAAATGACTGATTCAATTTATATACAGTGTTTGAAAGAAAGGCAACCATCTTCATGATATCAAGACTTTACGGGGTAAATTTCCTCTCAAAGAAAATCACTAATACAGTATTTCTGATTCGCAAACATCGTGAAGATGGCAACAATCTACAGGGTAATTTTTCTCTCAAAAATGACATTGATGCAATTTATACACGGTATTTCAAAACAAAAATATCCATCTTTTAGATACCAAGACTTTACGGGGTAAATTTCCCCCAAAAGAATATCACTGATACAGAATTTATGGTTCACAATTACTTGGCAGTAACTAAAATCTACAGGGTAAATTTCCTCTCAAAAAAAAATTATTGATACAGTTTATCTTATACGTAGAAAACGCGAACATAACACTTCGAACATTGCAGAACTCTACAGGGTAAATTTCCTCTCAAAGATGATATTGATACAGTTTATATACAGTAATTAAAAGCAAAAACACCCATCTTTTAGATAGCGAGACTTTACGGGGTAAATTTCCCCCCAAAGAAAATAACTGATATAGATTTTTTGATTCACAACATCTTAAAGATAGCAAAAATCTACAGGGTAAACTGCCTCTCAAAAATTACATCGATACAGTTTC